TTCACACCTTACGTGCTGAGGTGGGGAAGATGCTGCGCTCACTTCCGCTCCGTGGCGGTGCGTCCGTGTTGTGGGCCTGGATGCCGCTCCGCACGGTCATGGGCTGCAGCCACGTGCACCATTCTGAGCAGCCAAGTGGAAAGGAGCCGAAAGGAAACGCTGGAAACAAAAACAGTAAAGGAGACAGTGGCAAATCCCCCGTTGTTTCTCCGGAAGACGATAATCACGAGGATTTGCTTGTGGCCCGTGCGACACTCTTTGTGCTGGTGATGTTGGCGTTGTCCTACGTGCTGTGGCGGTTGTCGCAGCCGTCGGGGAAGCAGACGGGGTGGGCATCGCTCATCAAACACGCAGGTGTTATTGAGAGCATCGCGCTGTACAACAACTACGCGCAGGTGTACCTGGAGGAGGCGAAGGTGTACCTTGGCCTCGTGGATGACCAGCACACGCAGGCGAAGCTGGAGCAGCTGCAAAAGGCCTACCTCGCTGCCGTGGTGGAGAAGCAGCAGCAGCAGAAGAGCACATCCGATGGTAAGCCGTCGCAGATTGAGGTGCGGCTGCAGGGGACCCCACTGGGGGAGCAGGCACTCGTAGTGTTGGGTGTGTTTGCATGGGTGGTGCCGTTCGTCTTCTTCCCTGTCTTCGTGATGATATTGTCCAGCTCGATTGGCAAATCGCTGGCGATGACGATGGAGGCGGGAAAGAAGTCACAGCGCGTGAAAGACATGGTATTCCGCGTGGAGCGCTCATCGAGCACGCGCTTCCACGATATTGCTGGGATGCAGGAGGCGAAGCGCGAGGTCACGGAGGTGGTGGACTTCCTGCGCCACCCTGAGCGCTACACTGCGCTGGGCGCAAAGATACCAACGGGCGCGCTGCTGCTCGGCCCGCCGGGGACAGGCAAGACGCTGCTGGCGAAGGCGGTGGCGGGTGAGAGCGGTGTTGGTTTCATTCCCGTATGCGGCTCGGACTTTGTGGAGCTCTACGTTGGCATGGGCGCGCTGCGTGTTCGGCAGCTCTTTGAGGTTGCCAAGAAGCAGCGCTGCATTGTGTACATTGACGAGATCGACGCGATTGGGCTCAAGCGGAGTGGGGCCGGGCACGGCGAGAAGCAGGAGCAGGAGCACACGCTTAACGAGTTGCTGACGCAGCTGGATGGCTTCAACACCAGCAGCCGCGGAGATGTGATGATTCTCGCATCGACAAACGTGGCGCAGGAGCAGCTGGACCCCGCGCTTATCCGCCCCGGGAGGTTTGACCGCATCATCCATGTCGATGCCCCCGTCATCAGCGAGCGAATCGATATTTTCAAGGTGCATCTCAGCGCGTTGAAGCTAGTCAACGACGCGGGTGAGGCGGACGGGAAGGAGGCGGGGACTCCGCCCACAGACACGGCAGACGGCAAAGAAAAGGTGACGGTAGTAGAGGACGCATGCCGCAACGCGGCAGAGGATGGGAAGACCGAGACATCCAAAACAGCAACAACAACGACGCCGGCGGAAACAACAAGTGGTGCTGCTGCTCCCAGCAACGCGGAGGGCAACGCGAAAGAAGCAGCAGCAGCGGGTGGAGCGTCTGCATCAAAGACAGCGGAGACATCGCTGACGGTGAGCAAGCTGGAGGAGGAGATGGATGCGGAGCGCAGTCTGCTGCTGGAGGAGAAGCAGTCAGGATATGCCTCCTTCGACTTCCGCGCGCTGCTGGCGACGAAGAGTGAGAGGGAGCGCGCCCTCATCAACGCCTACGCGGAGCGGATGAGCAACCTCTGCCCCGGCTTCGTCGGCGCCGACATCGCGAACGTGTGCAACGAGGG